CCCCAGCTCTAGGTCCTGGCACTTTGCCACCTTTTTTCACTCATCTGGCATCGTGCCACGGTTCAGTTTGGTCCAAACCTTGCTGATCTGTTTGCACAACCCCAGTGTTGTGTCAGTGGCGGGTGCTCCCAAATTTGCGTCACTCCCTGGGTGACAAACAGCCTCTCTGTGTGCGCTGATATGTAAAACCGGACACCTCGTCCACGGTCAGGACCCAGAACACAGGAGCCTGGGCCTGGGGTCAGCCAGTGTCTGAGAAAACACTCGAGGAGAGGAGGTGGCCAGGCAGATTTCCCTGGGGGAATTCTGCCCACATTCCATCACTGGAAAATCAAAACGTTTGCTACACGATGAGATCTCAGACCACAGGGTCCACCGAGAGTCCTCATTGGCTTGTTGGTGTATTTTTTGTTGATTCTGGGGTTTGAACCCGGGGCTTTGTGCTTGGCAGGTGGGCAGGCACTCTGCATCTTGAGCCATGTCCCTAGCTGATTTTGCTCTAGTCTGCGCATGTGTTTACAGGCTTGGACTATGATCCACCTATTTATACTTCCCGTGGTGGCTAGAATGACAGGACTATGCCATCATGCCCCATTTCTTCGGTTGAGATGGGGTCTCAACTGAGAGCTGAGCAAAACTGGCCTGAACTTCCATCCTCCCAACCTCAGTCTCCTGCTCACTCTCTGCTTCCTTCGGATCTCCATATCCAGGCTCCAGAACAGGGTCAGTTTCCCCTTCTGTCTGAAACTACCAGGGTTTGGTTTGGTTTGGTTTTTGCCGATCCTGGGGCTTGAACTCAGGGCTTGAGCTCTGTTCTGGAGCCTCAGTGTGCTCAAGGCTAGCTCTCTACCCCTTGAGCCACAGTGCCAATTCCAGCTTTTTCTGAGTAGTCTTACTGGAGATAAGAGTCTCACAGACTTTTCCTGCCCAGGGCTGGCTTTGAACCGCAGTTCTCAGATCTCAGCTTCTTGAGTAGCTAGGATTACAGGTGTGAGCCACTGGTGTTTGGCTAAACTACAGGGTTTTTTGTTGTTGTTGTTGCTTAAGGTGTGTGTGTGTGTGTGTGTGTGTGTGTTGCTGATACCTTCAACACAGGGTGTGGGTACCCTCTGTTTCTTAGCTTTTTCATGAAAGGCTGGTGCTTTACCATGTGAGCCGCAGCTTCACTTCTGGCTTTTTTTGGGTGGTCCATTGGAGATAAGCGTCTCCGGCACTTTTCTGCCTGGGTTGGCTTTGAACTGGATCTCAGCTCTCAGCCACCAGAGCAGCTAGGATGCAGGCAGGGACTGGAACCTGGGCCTGCAGCACAGACTCTAGCACTGGCCCCACCCTGGGTCCTGGAGCAGCTTTGGAATCAGAAGATGCGAAGATGATGATGTGAGCCCCCCCCATCCCTGTCCCAGGGACCCCAATATCACCACCTTCCAGGAACTCCACTAATGAACTAAGTCTATGTCCTGATGTCCTCACTTCCTTCCAGCCTAGTTTCCTTTGGTCTCCCTCGTTCCTGTCCCAGGATCTCAGTGGACGCAGCCTTCCACAGTGCCCCTGGCTGGGACGTCCCTGGTCCTGGACTGAGGTAGGCCGTGACGGCACTGGTTATGGTTTTGTGACCAGGTGCTGGATTGGGGTGTGCCTGGAGCTCTCTGCTCTGGGGAGGCCACAGAAGGAGAATATCACCTTTGATCCCCCCCACATTGCCCCGTCCAGGGTCCCTAGGCTCAGAGGGGGTTTTGTCGTGTCTCTCCAGGGTGAAGTTTTCTGTTTGGGGGTGTGTGGGGTGATTTTGAAGTTATGCTCCTTTGTACTCTGCACCGTCTTGTTTGTTCTGGGTACTGGCCGTTCCTGTTTTGGTAATTCTGTCTGCCTGCGTGTCATTTAGGCGTGATAGTGACAGCGTGTGGAAATCACTGCTCAACACCCAAAGCTCTGCAGACTCGCCTGGTGATGACCCCGTGCTGGGTCACGTGGCCCACACGCGTTGGACAACTCTTATACCAGGGCTTGGAAGACAGCAGCTGCTTCTTTTTCACCTGTGGCTGTCGAAGCCTAAACTAAGAGAGAAAAAAACAAAACAAGACCCAAAGCCCACAACTTCCCATGCTTCTCAGACTTGAAGATCTCAGCAGTCCCCACGGGCCAGCAGCAGGCTGCTAGAGAGTGGATTGTGGGCAGGACTTTTCCACTAATGTGTGTGTATGTGTGTGTGCCAGTCCTGGGGCTTGAACTCAGGGCCTGGGCTCTGTCCCTGAGCTCTTTTGTTGAAGGCGAAGCACTCTACCACTTTGAGCCATAGCACCACTTCTGGTTTGCTGGAGGAGATAAGAGTCTCACAGACTTCCCTGCCCAGGCTGGCTTTGAACCACGATCCTCAGTTCTCAGCTTCCTGAGTCACTAGGATTAGGGGCGGGCATGAGCCACCAGTGCCGGGCTTTATTTTTTATTTTTAAGAACATCTTCTAGAGCCCAGCTGACCTGGATCACAGGCATGTGCCTAGCTGCTTTTAACTTTGTGTTACCAGCCTGACAGTTTCAAAAGGCCTGCTGGGTATTCATGGCCTCTGTTGACTGTTTACTGGGCTCAGCCCAGAAGGGGACAGAGCTGGGCTGCAGGAGTTCCCCGCCTGCCCAGAGCCTGGCTTCAAGCCATTTGCTGGGTTGAGAAATAATGGCTTCATCCCAGCCTCCGGAACCCAGGACCAGAGCGGCCCCTGTCCTCAAGACTGCACATAGACGCCCTCCTCCGTTCCCTGGGCTCCGGTTTCCCAGTCATAAAGCATGACTGAGGGGTCCCAGGCTCCGAGGCACCCAGATTTTGGGAGTAGCAATTTCCTTTTACTTCTTGTGGTACTGGGGAGGGAAGCAGGGGGGGGGGGCTGCCCCTCCCCCGGCTCCTCAAGCCTGTGGCTGGGCTGAAGGCCCCCTCCCCACCCCCGGGCAGCCACTGGACAGTCACTGGGGACTGGTGGCCACAGGTCCCGGCCTCAGTGTCTGGTCTGGGGTGATTGAAGTTAGGCTTGGAGAGGCACTACGCTGGCAGGGGGTACTGCGCTGTGAGTGTTGGGAAATTTGGCTGTTGGCTTAACTCCCAGGGGGGGTGGATGGTTTAGGGGAGCCCCCTACCCCACATCAGAGGCCAAGTGAAAGCCAGGGCTCTCCCTGCCCAGTGCTCTGCAGCTGAGGGTGAGGATGAAGGTTAATAAGTAACAGGCCCAGGTCAGGGTGGCTCGTTGGTGGCCCCAGGCGTCAGGGACAGGGGCTGGGTGACAAACACGCTCAGTGACCGGGGTTGCCTCACCCCTGCCTGCCTGCCTGCGGGAAGCTTGGGCTCGGAACCCTGGCTCTGCCACTGCTGTGTGGCCTCTGGAGAGTGAATCAGCCTCTCTGGCACAGCCAGGAAGTGCCAGAACTCCTGTTTGTATCGGAGCCTAGGATTTGTGTTTTAATTAATTCCTGGGGCATAAAAGCTCTGTCATGTTTGGTTAGAAGATCGGGTCTCCCTCTCCCCCCGCCCCCCCAATATGCAAGGTGTGCCAACTATTATGCTTCCTGTTCAAGGCTGAGCCGTGTGCTGAGCCTTGGCCTCCTCCGGGCAGCCCGCCGGGATCTCACCTTGTCGCTTGTGTCTTTCTTTCTCTCCAAGCTGGAGGCCAGCTCAGGGCACATCACCCAACCCCATTTTACCACCAGTGCCCCGTCTGGGGCAGAGTTCCTGCCAAGGATGGGTGGATGGTCAGTGTGAGGGCAGAGTCCCCAACGTGGGTCATGGCCAACCCGAGGGGTCCACGAGTCAGTCATCAAACCTACAGCGTCTGCCCTGGGCTGGCAGCTCCTTCTTTCTTTCTTTATTTTTTTGGTGGTTGTGGGGCAGGACTTGAACTCTGGGCCTGGGCGCTGTCTCTCTGCTCTTCAGCTCAAGGCTAGTGCTCTACCACTTGAGCCACAGCGCCACTTGCGGCTTTCTGGTGGTTCATTCGAAAGTCTCAGGGACTTTCCTATCCAGGCTGGCTTTGAACTGCCATCCTCAGCTCCGGAGTAGCTAGGATGCCAGGTGTGAGCCACCGGGGCCTGGCTGGGAGATCTTTCTTGAGTCTCATTTTGTATTTCACAGGTAGGGAGACAGGCCTGGAGGTGGGGTGGGATGAGGTTGGACGAGGGAAGGGCGTGGTCTGGGTGCTGTTCACCCGGAACCCCTGGGTGAGACTCAGACTGTACACCAATAACCCTGCCCTCTGCTCTCCCCGCTAGGCCCGTTTCTCCAACCCTAAACCCTCCTGCTGGCTCGCCCGCCGTGGCTGCTCCGTGCCAGGCCCAGCTGCTGTGCACACGTGTGTGCCTGCAGGCCCCGCCCCACCTCCCATGGGGCCAGACCCTCCCCCTCCCCCCCCCCCTCCCGCCAGCCTGGGCGGGGCAGGACGGGCTATCTTGTTTGTGGCTGAAGGTCCCAGGGTTGGTGCATGTAGGTGTCCAATAATTTCTTCTGTGTTCTTTATTTTGTTTTGTTTTAACAGTGCTGGAGCTTGAACTCAGGACCTTGAACGTCGTAGGCAGGTGCTCTGCCACTGAGCCAGGCCCCCAGCCCCTCCCGCCCCCATTCCCTCCTTTCTTTTCTCGTCTTTTGTCCTTTTATTTTCTCTCTTTCTTCCTTTCTGTGCCGGTCCTGGGGCTTGAATTCAGGGCCTAGGCACTGTCCCTTAGCTTTTTGTTCAAGGGTAGCGCCCTACCATTTGAACCACAGCTCCACTTCCAGCCTTGGGTGGTTAATCCAAGAGTCTCACAGCCTTTCCCGCTGGATCCTCAGATCTCAGCCTCCTGAGTAGCTGGGATCACAGGTGTGAGCTTCCAGTGCTGGGCTAAGAACCCCAGCAGTGTCTGGGAGCCAGCACAGAGGATCAAATCCTCCCTGAGGTCCCCCCTCCTCTCCCAGGGCTCCTCGCTGTCCCTTTAACCCAGGAGGAGGGGCTGAGGCCAGAGTCCCGCCCTGGAGGAGGGAGGAACAAGGAACACCGGCCCAGCCGGCCCAGACACAGGAACGCAGGGACTGTTGGACTGTGGGGTGGGAGGTAAGGGGCCTGGTCCAGTGGGGGTCAGGCTGAGGGGGGAGGGGCTGAGCCCCCCTGGGGACATGGGGACACTGATCCAGCCCAGAGGCCTGTGGGAGGAGGCTGCACGGAGACCCGAGTGCCCAGTCTCTCCAGGGGCCCACAGGGCAGCCTGGGGCAGCTGCATTCTTTCTAGCCTTGGTCCAGGGTGGGCAACAGGTGGCCTTGGGTAAGGCCTGGGATGAGGGAGGTGGGCAGAGAGTGGCAGCAGTGCCCCAGCACGGGCATCCTGATCACGCTGTCCACAAGTTCCAGCAAGGCAGAGAGCAGCAGGGCTGAGGCCGGAGCCCTGTCCCCTGGCAGGGAGGGCCGGGCTGCTCTCCATTCCCCACACTGGCCCAGGCCCTATGCCCAGCCCGGCCCGGCCTCCACGCACGCGCTGTGGGTGCCAGGGCCTTGTTCCGTTGACAGAGGGCCTCCATCTCTGTGGGCTGGGTAGAGCACCCGAGGCGGCTTAGCATCAAACACCCGCAGCCTTAGCAAGATGAATGCATTCGCTGATCGGACAGGAGACATGGCCGCCCTGGACTCTGCCTGGGTCGAAGTCATCTTGGAAGCTTCTAGATGCGTGACCTTGGCTGGCATTCAGGGAGTCACAGGGCTTATCTTGGCACCGTTGTGAGTGCCTACCGGCTTGGCACTGGGCCCGGCACGGCTACCCGTTGTACCCATTGCCTGGCTCACTCATCTTCCAGGGCGGAGTCTGGTGTCTGTGCCCCCCATTAGGGGTGGGGGATGGGGAGGTTCTTGTTTCTTGGGGGTCTCCCGGCACAGAAGCCCCCGTAGAGGCTGCCCAGGTGTGTCTGGCCTGGACAGGCCCTGTTCTGCGCTGACAAGGGCCAGGGGCAGATCGAGGGGCAGGAGACCCCCAACCCCATTTCCCCTGATGGAGGACGGATGTGAGGTCCAGGCTTGTGGGCCGTGGGGAGGGGTGGTGCCCCCTCGTGACTGGTACTGGACCTGCCTGGGCCGGCCCAGGGCTTACTTGCTTTCTTTTTCCTCCTGTTCATCTCTTTCCTATCTTCCTTCTCCCCTCGTCCATCCACCTGCTCGCTTACCTGTCCAGGAGTGACCCGTCTGGCTCTCCCTGCCGCTGCGGCTCCACTCAGAAACGCCTTTCCCCGTGGCCCCGCTCTAACCCTCCCTTTTGAGAACGTAGAGATCCAGAGTGTGGATTGGGCTATCTGCCTGCCAATCAGAAGGACCCGTGCCATTCGCTGCCCAAAGCCCCAGAGCTGGGGGCTTTTGTCCAAGCACAGTGGAGACGCTGGGTGACCCCTCGGGTACAAAGACACATCGAAATGTAAACACCTAAAAGCTTCAGCCCCTCCTCCCCCATCACAGAACCAACCACTTACCGTGCTTCATGAGATCATTAGAACTGTGAACGGTGCGCTTGGGGACCGAGTTCGATTCCATAGGAAGAAACTCGGTAAGAATCTCTCTGTGTATGCCTCTCGCGGCTGGAATGGCAGGCACACATTGCTGCACCCGGTGTTTTTTTAACTTGGTTGAGATGGAGTCTCGCTTTTTTTCTTTTTGGCCAGAGCTGGCCTTCAACCATGATTCTCCCGATTTCCACCTCCCCAGCAGCTAGGATTCCAGGTGTCAGCCGCTATGTCTGGCACAAAGTCTTTGAAAAGTTTCTCTTCCCAGAGAGGACTTTCCTGACGTGCCCCTAAATCACTCCTGAGTGAAGCCCTGTCACTGTATGTCCCGATAGCCCCAGGACGCCCAAGCTCCACTGACCCCTCCCCTGTGGGACCCCGCCTGGAACAACTTCTCCTCCTCCTCCTCCTCCCCCCTCCCCCTCCTCCTCCTCCCCCTCCCCCCTCCTCCCCCTCCTTCACCTCCCCCTCCTCCTCCTCCTCCCCCTCCTCCTCCCCCTCCTCCTCCCCCTCCTCCTCCCCCTCCTCCTCCCCCTTCACCTCCTCCCCCTTCACCTCCTCCCCCTCCTCCCCCTCCTCCTTCACCTCCTCCCCCTCCTCCTTCTCCTCCTCCCCCTCCTCCCCCTCCTCCCCCTCCTCCCCCTCCTCCTCCCCCTCTTCCCCCTCCTCCCCCTCCTCCTCCCCCTCCTCCCCCTCCTCCTCCTCCTCCCCCTCCTCCTCCTCCTCCTCCTCTCCTCCTTCCCCTCCCCCTCCTCCTCCCCTCCTCTCCTCCTTTTCCTCCCCCTCCTCCCCCTCCTTCACCTCCTCCTCCTCCCCCTTCACCTCCTCCTCCCCCTCCTCCTCCCCCTCCTCTCCTCCCCCTCCTCCCCCTCCTCTCTTCCTCCTCCTCCCCCTCCTCCCCCCTCCCCCTCCTCCTCCTCCCCCTTCTCCTCCCCCTCCTCCCCCTCCTCTCCTCCCCCTCCTCCCCCTCCTTCACCTCCTCCTCCTCCTCTCTTCCTCCTCCTCCCCCTCCTCCCCCTCCTTCACCTCCTCCTCCCCCTTCACCTCCTCCTCCTCCCCCTTCTCCTCCCTCTTCCCCTCCCCCTCCTCTCCCCCCTCCTCTTCCTGGTCTTCATAAGTGCACGCGCGTGCTGTGTTCCCAGGTGTGTGTGTAAATGGCGGCCGAGCGAATCCTCTGTGCTCTGTGCCGCCCTGACCTCCTGCACATGGGAAACGGCGCCCCTCGCCTGTCCTGGGTCTCCCGCGGTGACCCGCTGACCCGTGTCCTCCCCGCAGGTCCCCGGGCCTGGCCGCGGGGATGGAGGGCGCCCTGGTGGGGAGGGCCGGGGCCGAGCCCTTCCACGTCACCACGCCTCTGCTGGAGAGCTGGGCGCTGTCCCAGCTGGCGGGCACCGCCGTCTTCCTCAAGTGTGAGAACGTGCAGCCGGCTGGCTCCTTTAAGATCCGGGGCATCGGGCATTTCTGCCAGGAGGTGAGGCACAGCCACGCGGGCGTGAGGTCCCAGGGGACGTGCAAAGGGCCGGGGGCACCCAGTGGGATGGGGCCTAAGTGCGCCCCGCTTGGTGAGCCCCAACTCTGTGCTTCTCTTCTAGATGGCCAAGAAGGGGTGCCAACACCTGGTCTGCTCCTCAGGTGACCCCTCTGCTCCCTGCTTGATGGGGGTTGGGGGGGCGGGGAGCTGGCTGGTCCCCTTGTGAAGCCCGACCTCAGCCCAGTGTGTCACCACCCCGCGCAGCCCAGCCCCAGCCTGCGAGAAGAAGCAGGACTGTGAATCGGAGGCCGGCCTTGGTTCCATACCTAGACTGTCTTGGGGGCGGGGGGAGTAGGCAGATGAGCAAAGCAAAGGCGGCTTGGGCAGCTCATGGCCTCAGACATCCTTGTCCCCTCCGAGTCCTCTTCCCGTAACCCAGGACTTGTGGTGGCCACGGGTGACGGAAACCCCAGTGGTGTAGGTGTCAGCGCTAGGCTTCAGGAACTGTGACTCCCGATGGGATGAGCGGCGTTCAGGCACGGCTGGATCCAGGAGCGGCCTCTGCAGTTCCGCTCTCGGTTCTTCTCTCCTCCATTCGCTTGATTCTCACCCGGGCCTCACAGCGCGGCCAAGTCGCCCCTCGGGAGTCCCAGGAGAAAGAACCGTTCTACCGTTCTTTCTGTTGGGTTAGAGGGAGGGGGAGGGGGAGGGCAATGCAGGGGGAGGGCTCATCAGTGGAGTCACTCACCCCCCCCACGTCTTCCCAGGGGGCAATGCGGGCATCGCCGCTGCCTACGCCGCTCAGAAGCTGGGCATCCCCGCCACGGTGGTGCTCCCCGAGTCCTCCGCCCCGCAGGTGATACAGAGGCTGCGGGGACAGGGCGCGGAGGTCCAGGTGACCGGAAAGGTGAGGCCCCGAGAGGAGGGGACTCTCCCCCCTCCCCGTCCTCAGGAAATCTGCTTCCTTTTCCTGAGTGTGTGTGTGTGTGTGTGTGTGTGTGTGAGAGAGAGAGAGAGAGAGAGCGCCAGTCCTTGAACTCAGGGCCTGGGTGCTGTTCCTGAGCTTTTCCACTCAAGGCTGGTGCTCTACCACTTGAACCACAGCTCCACTCACTCCTAGCTTTTTGGTGATGAATTAATCTCAGACGTTTCCTGGCTTTGAACTGCGACCCTCAGATCTCAGCCTCCTGAGTGGCTGGGATGGCAGGCGTGAGCTGCAGAGCACGGCTTCCTCTCCTTTCCATGAACAATGGCCTGGACTGTGTGGTGTCCTCAGAGGGGTGGGCTGAGGAGCCAGGTGTTGAGAGTTGGGACCTGTGATTTGCCTGTCCCAGCAGAGAACAACTTGGGTGTGAGCTGGGGGGGGGGCCACAGGACGAGGAGAGGGCGGGACGGAGGGAGGGAGGGACGGAGGGAGGGCGGGCTGCACTGCCATTTGCTTTGCCCTCCCTCTGGCTGGGAATGAGTGCCATGCCCCAGGCCTGGCCAGGCCACGTGCAGTGTGGAGACCCCGGCCTCCAGCCTCCAGCCTCCGCTCCAGCCTCCAGAGGCCCCAGCTCCTGTCTTCTTTTCAGGTGTGGGATGAAGCCAACACCAGGGCACAGGAATTGGCCAGGAGGGACGGCTGGGTGTACGTCTCCCCATTTGACCACCCGCTGATCTGGTAAGGCTGGGTCCCCCGGAAGCGCCCAGACCCCAATAAACCTCTGAGTGTGCCGGGCGCCGGTGGCTCACGCCTGTAATCCTAGCTAATCAGGAGGCTGAGATCTGAGGATCACGATTCAAAGCCAGCTTGGGCAGGAAAGTCCATGAGATCTTATCTCCAATGAACCACTAGAAAACTGGAAGTGGTGCTGTGACTCAAGGGGTAGAGCGCTCACCTTGAGCTGAAGAGCTGAGGGACAGCGCCCAGGCCCAGAGTTCAAGTCCCATGACTGACAAAAAAGAAAAACCTCTGAGCTTCCCTCTATCCAAAGGTGGGGGTCCCAGAAAGTTCCCGCGTCAGCCTCTCTGGGGAAGGGGTTCTAAGGGGAGGAGTCGAGAAGTGGGGACAGCGCCCGCCCCCCTATTTCCGCAGGGAAGGCCATGCCAGCCTGGTCCTGGAGCTGCAGGCGGCCCTGAAGACCCCGCCCGGCGCGCTGGTGCTGGCGGTGGGGGGCGGGGGGCTGCTGGCGGGGGTGGCGGCCGGCCTGCGGGCGGTGGGCTGGCAGCACGTGCCTATCGTCGCCATGGAGACACGCGGCGCCCACAGCCTCCACGCGGCCCTGGAGGCCGGCCAGCTGGTCACACTGCCCAGCATATCCAGGTGGGCCGGGGGGGGGCAGGGGCGGGGGTCACCCCAATGTTTCCCCTTGTCCCTGGAGTTCCGACCGCAGTAACAAAGATCTAAGTTTAGCGAGAGCGCAGGCCAAGGGCGTGTCCCGAGTTCAATTCTAGCACTGCAACTAGAAGGAGAGGAACGATGCAGTTCGGTTAAAGCACAATCCTCGGTGACATTACGGAGGCGCAGGGGCGTTGCGAGGAATCCGGGGAGCAATAAGCAAGCAACAAGAAGCAACGGGAAACCACATGGCACTCTTTCAGTTTCTGTCAGCTGTGGGGCTTGAACTCAGGGCCTGGGCGCTGTCTCTGAGCTCTTTTTCTCAAGGCTAGCACACCACCAGTTTGAGCCACAGCTCCATTACTGACTTTCTGGCGGTTCCTTAGAGATAAGAGTCTCACGTGGGGACCTTTCTGCCCTGGCTGGCTTCAAACCGTGATCCTCAGATCTCAGCCTCCTGAGTGGCTAGGATGACAGGCCTGAGCCCCCGGTGCTGGCGCAGGTGGAACTCTTGATCAGAAGGTTGCTCTGACAGGGGCTGTCACTGCACAAAATGACACACTGGCTTTCGGGGCCAAAGACTGTCCCCCGCAGGCTGCAGGACGGGGGCACAGGCTCCGTGTGTGGGGGCCCAGGGTGGGCAGGACAGAGGCCAGGCGGGCAGAGGCCGATGGGCCAGCTCCTCTCTGCTCCCCGTCTCCCTCCCCACCCCCCAGTGTGGCCAAAAGCCTGGGCGCCAAGACGGTGATGGCTCGGGCCCTGGAGTGTGCGCAGGAGTTCCAGGTCGTGTCCGAGGTGGTGGAGGATGCAGAGGCCGTGAGCGCTGTGCAGAGATTCCTGGGTGAGTGAGCGCCCCGCCCCCCATCCCGGCAGGGAGTGGGCAGGTAATAAATGTTTGCTCAACGAACGGGGTCGTGTGTGAGTGTGTGGAGAGGGTGGATGATGGATAGCCAGGAGCAGGAGAAGGAGGGAGGGAGGGAGGACTCACAAATAGGTTGATGGATGGGGAGATGGGTGGATAGGTGGGTGAAAGCACTGATATATTGATCAATGGATGTCCTGATGGATGGACAGACAGACAGACAATAAAATGATAGATAGGGGCTGGCTGGTGGATGGATAGATAGATGGGTGGCTGGTTGGATGGGTGGATGGATGGGTGGGTGGGTGGATGGGTGGATAGATGGATGGGTGGATGGGTGGATAGATGGATGGGTGGATGGGTGGGTGTTTGGATGGGTGGATGGATGGGTGGATGGATGGTAGATGGATGGATGGATGGATGGATGGATGGGTAGATAGATGGATGGATGGGTGGATGGATGGATGGGTGGATGGATGGATTGGTAGTTAGATGGATGGATGGATGGATGGATGGATGGATGGATGGATGGATGGATGGATGGGTGGATGGGTGGATGGGTGGGTGGGTGGGTGGGTGGTGGGTGGATGGATAGAGTCTAGTGATGGGTGGTCAGGCTGATGTCAGACATGCTAGCTTGTGGGCTGGATGGACTGATGGGCAGAAGAACGGACGGACGGCTGCAGGACAGGAGCCTGCTGAGCCGTGCCCCCCCCCCGCCCCCCGCTGCCTGCAGATGACGAGCGCATGCTGGTGGAGCCGGCCTGCGGGGCGGCCCTGGCTGCCGTCTACTCGGGCCTGCTGGGGAAGCTGCAGGCCCAGGGCCGCCTGAGCCCCTCGCTGGCCTCTGTCGTGGTCATCGTCTGCGGAGGCAACAGCATCGACAGCGGGCAGCTGCAGGCGCTGAAAGCCCAGTTGGGCCTCAGTTGAAGGCCCCAGAGACCCCCGGGACACTCACAGCAGAGTCCCTGGTCCCGCGGAGGCCAGTGGGCAGCCCCGTGCTGGGGCCTCCCCCTACAGGAAGCCCTCCTGGATTGCCCCTGCAGTGTGGCCAATAAACCCTTCTGAGCCGTCTCGTGGTCCTGTCTTTCCACCTCTCCGGGTCCCGTGTGTGACAAGGCGACTTGGGGTCCCACACAGGCACCAGGCCCGGCCTAGGGAGCTGGGGGACGGGGGAGGCAGCCAGGGGGACACTTCAACCAGGACTGGGCTGGAGAGGATGACCTCCATTTCCTTATGGACTTAAGTACCTGAACGTTCCAGAACTTTCCTCCTGTGTCTCCCTCTGCCCTCCCATGGCCTGGTGTCCATTCCCCCTCCACACCTGGTGTGGACCGGGCCGGGGTCACCTGGCGGAAGGCTCCCAGGCCTTGGTGCCAGCTGGCCGTGGGACCCCACCAGGAGCCTGGGAGCCCTCGGGAGCCAGGATGTGCGGTCCGCTTCTCTACGGCCACACGGGGGCAGCAACGTGCCTCCCACGGAGCCGGCGGGCAGCTGGGGCAGAGGCCTGCGCCCCGGGGGTCCCCTTGGCTCTGCTCCCCCCAGGGGACTTCCTCCCAGCTGGGGGTGCCTGGGCCCATGATCCAGGGGGGCCTTGGTATGGAGAAGCCCCTCCGAACCCTCCCTCACGGCCTTGCCAGGAGACGCTGAGAGTGTGGGGTTCCCGCCAGGCCCAGGCCAGGCTCCGTGCAGCTCGGCTCCCTGACTCTCCTTGGCTGTGTAACCTTCCAGGAACGTGCACTCCCTCTCTGGGCCTCTCTCTGCTTCCCAATGCCAGAGACTCACTGGTCACATCCCGCCTGCTTCCCTCTCCCACGGGCCCCTCCTTTCCCCGCACCCAGCCTGCTTCCCGGGGTGCTGCACCTGTGGATGCCAGGACTTCAGGCCACAATGACGCTATGAGCTGGATACAGCCAGACCTGAGCCCGACCTGTCCTGACACTGCAGCCTGGGGATCCTGCTCACCGCCTCTGTGTTCTCAGCTGTGAAGTGGGCCCACGGATGACTTTCATTGTGGGCTTCGCACATAGTCTTTGCACGGCTGTCGGTTCTAGCTCCTGAGCACCCCAACTTCTGGGAACAGGGGACACCTAAGGTGTGCCATGGACCTTCACAGTCCTTGGGTCCCAGAAGAGCTCCTGTGGTGGGTGCTAAAATGATTCCTCTTTTTCAGATGGGGAAACCGAGGAGAATGGCGCTGAGCCTTCCCGCCTCCCCAGTCTGGGGCCCTTATATTAAACATCAAATGCTTGTCCATCCCTTAGATGCTCTGCCCGCTTTCCTTCACTCCAGCCTGCCATGTGCTCTGCGCTGCAGGATCCTATACAGCCTTCAAAGCCCAGCTTGAAAAGGCAGCCTCCTCCGGGAAGCCTCCCAGGATTGCCCCAGCTAGCAGCGTTCTCCTCCATAGGTGCGTCTCCAGGCAGGGAGCAGAGTCTGCCCAGGCCAGGTGTCCATCTCCCAGGCAGCCCTGCCTTGTGGGAGACGAGTCACCTGTGTTTGCTCTCCTCCTGCTCCCCGGAGCTGCAGATAAGAAGACTGTTGAGCTGTCCCTCATAACACACGACAGGGAGCCCAGATCAACCGTCTCTGGCTGGCACCCAAGGTATGCAGGGCGCCGGGAGGGGTGCTGGGGATAGAGGAGGGAGGGGAGGCCCAGGCCCTGCAGAGAAGATAGGTGTGGCTGGGGGGGGTGGGGGGAGGCCACTTTCTGCCTCTGCCTTTTCTGGCCTCTGGTGTTTGCATAGCCAGGCCTGGGGGCTGCAGGTGTGCGTGCCTACCTGACACCCATTTCCCAGCGTCCCTGCAGGGAGGAGGCCTGGCTGACTCAGTCACTTACGACTAGCGACGTATTGTTTGATGTTCTAGTGACAGGAGGTGGGTCTGGGCACCCTTGGCTCAGGAGCCAGAGACCTGAGGATCCTAGTTCACAGCCAGCCTGGGCAGGAAAGTCCTTGAGACTTGGATCTCCAAGGAACCACCAGAAAACCAGAATTGGAGCTGTGGCTTAAGTGGTAGAGCGCATACACACACACACACACACACACACACACACACACACACACACACAAGATCAAAAACAGCCGCCCCCCCCCCCCCCCCCCCGCTCTTAAAGGCCATCCTTGGCCATTCCCAGCCCAGATGCCCCCGGAGCTGGTGCCTTGGCTGGCCTTCCTCCCTTCCTGCCCCGCGCCCCTTCGCAGGGCAGGGCCTCCGTCTCTGGCCCCGCTGGTCTAAATGACCCCTCGCCCTCTCTGGTCCCTTTGGCCTCTCCCTTCTCAGTGTTTGTGCTTTTTAAATCTCCACCAAAAATGTCGCGAGTAGCTTTCTTGTCTTCCTTCCAAACTCCCTGATAAATTCTGCAGGCCAGGCAAGCCCAGGAGGGGTTTTCTGGAGCAAGGAACCCCATAAATCACCCCTCTGCCAGTCCAGCGTGGGCAATATCATATGTAAAAAGGTGTTTTCTGGGAGCACTGTGGGCAGGAGAATCCTATTACAAGCCGCCCCATTCATTACAGAGCGTCAAGTTCACCCGCGCCTGCCATTTTTTATTTTAAGTCCAAAACTGATTGCCTTCCCCCCCCCCCCCAAAGATCTAAAGAACAAAACAAATGTTTGAAAAACAAATAGCAAAGTTTCTCCTTTTAGAGGGACAGAGGAGTGGACAGGAAAGGGTCTGTTTGTTTTATATCGTTTTCTCTCTTTTTTGTGTGTGCCAGTGCTAGGGCTTGAATTCAGGGCCTAGGTGCTGTCCTTTAGCAATCTGGCGCAAGACTAGTGCTCTGTGCCTTGAGTTTGTGGATTTTCCTGTTTGAGCTGGCTTTGAACGACGGTCCTCAGATCTCAGCTTCCTGAGTAGTTAGGATGAATGGCGTGAGCTACCAGTAGCTTGGACAGGGTCTCTTTATGTACCACAGACTGGCTTCAGCCTGCTTTGTGCTAGGCTTACAGGCATATGCTACTGTGTCTACCACTGTAGAACATTGATTTTTTTTTTTTCTGGTCCCGGGGCTTGCACTCAGGGCCTGGGCGCTGTCCCTGAGCTTATTTTGCTCAAAGCTAGTGCTCTACCCCTTGAGCCACAGCGTCACTTCTGGCTTTTGTCTGTGTCTGTGGTACTGAGGAATCGAACCCAGGGCTTCCTGCATGCTAGGCAAGCCCTCTACCACCCAGCCACCTTCCCAGCCCCAACACTGCATTTTTAACCAGACACTGCTTTAGCGGCTGCTGGTCTGGGGGGGGGGACCCCATTTTGAATAACAAGGGACTTGCAGGGTCTGGTTTCTGACCCCAGTGCTCCCCAGGCCTTGTGTCCTTTCTCTGGTTGATGTAGGTCGTGGTGGCCCTACACTGGAACATTCTAAGACTCACAAAGCAAGATCAATGCTCTTGCTTGTAGCGAGCTAGTCAGAAATCCCCCAACACCCCCCTCAGGACCCCGCCGGGCAGGTGCTGGGGGGTCCAGGCAGGAGGGGACGGACCTGAGCCCTGGCGTGAGAGAGAGAGAGATGAGGGAGGTGGCCCCCTGTCACACAAATGGCCCATCGGCCGCGACTCTAATGGTGGAGGAAGGGTAAACGGCCACTTCAGTGAGCAGGACAGATAGGCGGAGAGGCGCCCGGCTCCTATAAATCAGCCGTATGCGGGGCTCGGAGGGAGGCAGGACTTAGCATTCCGGTCAGGGGACGGCGTCCTCATCATCGGAGCTGGAGACATAATTTATTCTGTTCATATCTTTTTACTGCACGACAAGACTTGGGAGCGGATGCCCGCCACAGCCATTCTGCATTTTAAATATTAGTCCTGAGCACGGAGCTGGGCCCTTGTGCTCACTGGGGTGTTTATTTCCAGGGGTGTGTGTGTGTGTGTGTGTGGCAGGAGGCTGCAGGCACCAGGAGAGAATGGCGGGCGGCGAGGGGGGGGGTGCTTGTGGTCTCAGTGGCCAGCATAGGCCAGCGCGGCGGCCCGTGGGGGCCTAGCCGGAGGGGACAGCTACCGCGGGGCTAACCCCACCTGCGTGTCCTGGAGTATTCCCCCCCCCCACTCCCCGCCCCGCTGAAGGTCTTTTACTTTCAAATGGTAATAAATGCAGGTGATGAGGAGCTGGGAGGCGATGTGCAGATCCATTACTGGAGGGGGAGGGGCAGAGCGACGCGGCCGGGACGTCCTGGGCTCAGTGCTGCCAAGCCTGGAGCAAAACCCAGGGAGGGACCAGTGAGAACTGGCTCTCGTCACGCGACTCCTTCAAGGGCCTCTGACACAGTGTTGGAATTTCATCCATCCATCTGTCCATCCGTCTTTCTATCTGCCTGCCTCGCCATCCATCATCCATCCACCCATCAGTCCACTCTTCCATCCACCCACCCATTCACTGTCCATCAATCCCTCAATCCATCATCCATCCATCCATCCATCAATCCACCCATCCATTCATCGTCAACCCATCTATCCATCCATCAACTCATCCATCAACCCATCCATCATCCATCCATCCATCCATCCATTCATCACCAATCCACCCATTCATCATCCATCCATCCACCCAACATCCATCCATCTGTCTATCTATCCATCAACCATCTACCCACCCACCCATCTATCCCTCCACCCAACTACCCACCCATCCATCCATCCATCCACTCATCCATCTACCCATCCACCCATCCACTCATCCATCTACCCATCCACTCATCCATCCAACCATCCACCATCCATTCATCCATCCAACCATCCACCATCCATTCATTCACCCATCCATCCATCCATCCATCCATCCATCCATCCATCCATCCATCCATCCATCCCTCCATCATCCCCCATCCATCTGTGCATTTGTGTATCACTAGACAGGTGTGTGTGCTCTGCCTTTGGCTCACAAGCACCACAGTCTCTGGGTCTGCCCCCTCTGGCCTTGTGGTCCTGAGCAGCAGGCACACAGTCAAGCCTTGGTCCTCTTACCAGGGAAGTGGGAAGACGCGCCTGTCCCGGAAGCAAAGATTGGGGTTGAGGCAGAGGCGGGCAAGTGGTCCTGCTGATCCTCTCTGGGAGGCTGGCTCCATGGGAGCATCCTGGG